AGTTAATATGTTGATCTTGTTTCATTAAATCCTCGCAATTTGTCTTGCATTATTATGAGCACTATTAGGTCATCTTATATGAAGATCAAACCTATCAGGTTTTTTTCAATTCAAGAATCCAATTCTGCGAAATGTCTCATCTTCTTTTCATTTTCCTTCTACTCCAAAAAGATAACAATACAAATAATATGCTTTATTCTGCTGAATACTATACTCTAACCAACTTGAGTATCTATCAAACCACCTCGGATTGAAACGTCTATTGATGTAGAAACATCTTTAGTTATATATTCCTTAGAATTAGTTTATCTTAGTTTGTTATAGGTTTGTTACCACTGGTTTCTAGAATATTCCTTTTATCCTATAAATATACAAGCTATTATAAGAGAGGGGATTCATTGAATGAAATAATATACTCTTTGAAGCTTTTGAAGCTCGTGTTTTTCTTGTTCCCTGGATTGAGATTAAATCCTTCAAGCAATTCCGATTCTTCCGAAGATCCAAATATATCATCTATCTTTCATCCCAAACTTACTTCTAGGGAAGTCATAATTGTGAGGCTGACATGGCCCTTTTTGCAAATATGATCTTCGAATTTGATCACAAATGTTAAAATTAAATTCAGAAATAGGTATACATAATCCAAAATCTAATTGAAGATTCTATAAATTTGTTATCGTGCTTTTTGATGATTCATCAAATGTTTGAATCCTTTTTTTATTTTGTTCATCATCCTTATTTTTTTATTCCTCTATTGGTGTTGATATGCAAGATTGTGAGGACTTCTTAAAATATTTCTCCATAATCTTTGTACAAATTCAAACTCGTGAACTACATAAAACTATAAACTACATATAAAACTAAAAACAGTGAACCAAGCAGCAAAACGAAATTTTTTTATCTATAAACTGATGTGTAAACTGTAAACTAATTTGTATTGTATTATACGCTAAATTGGGCATTGAATCTAATTTAAACAGAAAACAAATGTTGTGATGATAACGTACTGATTCTAATTTTTTTTATATGTTTAGTATTGAATCTAATTTAGTCACTATACTGTAAATAAATTAAACTATAAACAAAACAAAAAAAATTTATCTATGAACTGTAAACGAAATTTTCTGTTTAGGAAAAAAAAAAGGTATAAACTAAACTACAGAAACTATGGAGCAGTTTACAAAATGCCTTTTGTCGCTCTATGAACTTCAAAAAAAAAAATCTAATTTATGTCCGCACAGAATAATTTCTCCTGATTTAGGGGCTGTTTGATATCGGATTTACAGCGGGATTTTAGTCGGATTTACGCTAAATCCAGCCAAACGGTTTTTGTGCGCGCGTTAAATCCAGGCGATGGGTAAATCCCAGATTTAAGGATTTACGGCTTAAATCCCGGATTTACTAAATCCCTCGGTTCGGCGCCCCGATCTCCCCTTTGCCGTGTCTTCTTCCCAAGCCGAGAGAGTGAAAGGGAGATAGGTATAGGTTATATATATATATATATATATATTATTAATAGTGTAAATAATAATTAATGAGTAAATTCTACTTTACATGTTATTAAATTCATGGTACATTACATTTTTTATTATAAATTTATTTTTTTAATTTATAATTATCTTTTTCACATTTAAATCTATAACTATCATAAATCTTGAAATATATTACCAAACAATTTCTCAAGATTTAACATGATTTAATATTTGTTATACCAAATATTTTTTCTAGATTTAGCACCCTGAGGATTTACTAAATTTAGATTTACAGAATTTATTAAATCCCACTTGTTGCCAAACAACCCCTTAGTATTGAATCTGAAAGCAAGTTTTTACCTATGTTGTCGACCGGATCCAAGACAGAAAAAGGGAGCCACTGTTCGTGAAATCCGAAAGCATAGGTTGCGCCTACCGAACTACATCTTCATATGTCGGACGAGAGCAAATAAAATCTTATTAGACGACGGACGGACTGACTGGACGGACCAATGGAGGTTGGAGGCAGAGGCGACGCCGCAACAATTCGGACAAGAGCTTCATGTGCGTGATAACTTTTTGTTTTTCTAAATCTAAATTTCTGCCTTTCTAAATCTAAATCAATGAAGCCGAATAGATATTAGGGCTTTCGCACTGCCCAAAAGCCCCAATTGTGCACAGGTAGATTTATTTTCGGAGGGGGCACGTTCCCTCGTGGGACCCTGCCTCACTCCGCCACTCAGCTTACACTTGGGGACAGTTTTTTTATTACTTTCTAAAATAATTTTTTAGTATAAAATTTGTTTGAGAGCAACAAATATGTAATGATCAAAGCTGTCCCAAATGAAACCTAAAGGCACATAAATACTAACAGAAAGATCTATGATCAAGAAAATCAATATAAGTCATCTCATAAAGTGTTTCATATTTTGTATATATTTATGCATCATGTCACTTTCAAAATCTATAAATATGCCCTTAGTATCTACATGAAAATGGCTCTTGAGTTGAGATTCATTAAGCATTTATTGAGATTCATAAAAGCTTAAATGCTTAATCAATCTCAAAGCTCTAGCGAAGTGTCAAAGGTGGACCACCGTCGTCGAACCATAGCAAAATCATTGTTATTAGACCATCGCCTAACTATCGTTTTTGGACCACTGCATGAATGTCACCCTCGAACCATCATCATTAGCCTCTGCTTTTGGATTGCAATCGCCAAGCTTTTGTCCAGCCACCTTTGTCACCTAAGTACCATAAAATATGAGATAGTATATGATATATATAGCCTAGATGGTGAAATTGTTCTGTGTGGATACAAACGCCATCTGGAGACGAATCAGAATATGTCACGTCACCCATTTACTATGTACCGTGGCTGTGTACCGGGTGATGTGGCGCGTTTCTTATTCGCCTCCAGACTGTCTGGTGTCCGCACAAAATAATTTCTTGCCTAAAATTTAAAATGAATTGGAAGAAGATGTAAATGACTGTCAAGGATGATTATTTGGCGGTGATGAATCATCAACCTAATTAAAATTGCTCGATTGTGAAATGGGTGGGTGTCATATATATGTATTATTAATAGACATCATATGATAGTAGGCATTTGACTTATTCATCATTCTAATAAAATGAGAGATGGAGCAATTGATAAGATGGACGGCAAATATTCATAAGGATGGAACTAGGAAGAGTTCGAGATAGACAAAAAAATTTTTAGAAGAATAAACATTTAAACTATTTTGTTCATCTTCAATAATAATAATAATTACTCAAATTATATTTAAAATTATGTATTTCAAAATTGTATTTTAACCACCTAAAAAAATTGATGACTTGTTTAGGCCATAATCTAAAAATACTAACCTATAGAACCAAATAAGCCTCACCAAACTACAAAAACAAAAAAAAAGACAGATCATCCCGGTTAGGGGATAACCCGGTCGACCTAGCATGCAACCCACACCAATTTACACGGGCCAACACATAAGGCTTGCACGAAGCGCCGAGGGGATTCGAACACGGTACCTGGCCTATGACTAGCCAATTCTCCACCACCAGGCCACCCCGCGGTGGATGCCTCACCAAACTACTGATACCTGACAAGTTCTTGTCCAAAACTTTTCTACACGGCAACATTACGTCCCATCTTTGTCTTGTAATTAATATTTCAGTCTTGACAAGCACGACTCCCTTCGCTACATAATATGCCATCGAATAAGAAGCTCATCATAATTACATTCCTTTTATTTTAAGAAAAAATAATATATATATACCTTAAATTTTTTAATGAGTAAATATTTTATTTCAACAGATATTGTGATAGAAATTTGGAAAAAAAAATGATTTAAGAATATCCGTTTTAATATTTGTTTGTTTTTAAAGCTGATATTAATTGTTGTATAACTCATCCGTCACTAAATTTTTTTTTAAACTTAGGTCAACTTTAACTGAAAAAACATAATTTTCATTTCAAAATATAATTATATTTCAAAATACAATAACTCATCTCCAATCAAATTTTATTTTCTGACACAAAAAAATTATTCTTTATATATTATTTATTTATTTCTAATACTTATTTTATATTTATTTGTAATCTTATATTTATATTTATCAATTTTTTGAATGAAACCTATTATTATTATCTTAATTTATATATTAATGTAATACCTTAAATAAATTAATTTGGTAAATTCAAAAAAATAATGTGCCTATAATTTATTATTTCTAAAATTAATAACCTAATTTTTTAATTTAAAAAAATAGCGTGTGAGTAGTGCAATGTCACTGTTCACACTCACGGGAATAGCTAGTGTTTTTCCTATCAAACACGTGAATAGCGAGTATTTTGCCGATCGAATGGAGCAAACCAACAACAAATGGCTGTAACGCATTCGGCTGGAGTTGCTCTCAATGAATAAATACGTTAGGTTTAGTGAGTTATCAATCAAGTTTCAGCACTCTTGACAAAGTCAATCTTTGCAGGCGTGACATGACAAGTGTTTAAGGTAATTTTCTCTCATGGCATTTTAGTAAAACTTAAAAAAAATAACGAAAAAATAATTATAAAAAATTGTTTAAAAAGAAAATCTAAGTCATGAAGTACCAATAATAATCCTACCGTTTACATTTGTAATTTATATTTTCATTTTTAATGCAAATTTTGATCTTTTTATCCCTCCTAATACACATTTTTTAACTAATATTCAATTATATTTTTATTTGACCAAATTACAAGAAAAACTCTTCTATTGAATTATGTTGAACATTCTAAGGGGTTGTTTGGTAGCAGGTATATATATATATATATATATATACATACATATATATATATGAGAGAGAGAGAGAAACTTATATAATTTAATGAGATAGTTTCATCTATATCAACTACAATCATATGAGGAAATAGTTTTCATTAATTTTATTATTTAATGCAGAGGGGGTAGTTGGAGTGCTGTACTGTCATTGAATTCCTTTCATTTCATCCAGCTAGAGTAGGCAAATTCTTTTCCACACAACCATCACACTTTCCCATTATATAATATGCCAAGCTAAATCCAGCTTGAAACCACACTCTTCAATTCATTTATTTACAATCTCCAAATCACAGATTGCTTTGCCATTTGGGCCATTTTTCACAGATGAGTGTTTACATTCTCCTCTTATTCCATATATCTTTCTTTATAACCAGTATTGTTTCAGAACTTCCAAGCAACAGAGTTAACTTCCACGCCAGCTTCAACAAGAAGAATGGTAACTCAAGTGAGGAGCTTGCTCTCCTATCCTTCAAGTCCCTCATAAGCCATGATCCTCATGGAGTTTTAGCTTCTTGGAGCAATCAATCTCTTCATTTTTGCCAATGGCGAGGTGTGACCTGTAGCAAACACAGAAATAAGCCTAAGGTCACAACTTTGGACCTCCAAGCCCTTAATTTGTCTGGTTCAATATCTCCCTCGATTGGTAATCTTACCTTACTCCATACTCTTTATCTTTCATCAAATCAGCTCTCTGGTTCTATCCCAACAGAGCTTGGTCAGCTCTCTAAGCTGCACCATTTGGACCTAAGCTTCAATCTATTAGAAGGTATGATTCTTCACACTCTTTCCCAATGTCTCCTTCTTCGAAGTATAAGTTTAAAGAACAATTCATTCCATGGAGAAATCCCTTCTAATCTTAGTCATCGTACAGACCTTCAAATCATTGATTTCAGAAATAACCTTTTAAGTGGTATTATTCCTGCAAGTTTGGGAGCCTTAAATCACCTCGAACAATTACTCCTTTCTAACAATCTCTTGGAAGCTGAGGAGAAAAATGACTGGGCATTCTTAGATGCTTTGGCAAACTGCAGCAATATACAAGCTCTTGGCTTGTCAATAAATAGATTAGGAGGTGTTTTTCCAAGCTCAATTGGCAATCTGTCCTCAGGGCTTCAAGTTCTAACAATATACAGTAATCAAATCATTGGAAGTATTCCTACAAGCATTTGTAGGCTAATAAATCTACAAATACTCATCTTAGGCGACAATCTTCTCGAAGGCAACATTCCAGAAGAAATTGGAATCCTTCATAAGCTAAAAGAGTTGAATTTGTATAACAATAAAATCTCAGGAGTAGTTCCAGATTCACTTGGAAACTTATCATCCTTGGAGATTTTTTCTTTGTATGGAAATCAATTTGGTGGTGGAATCCCACGAGTGATTCAAAATCTTACTTCTTTAAACATTCTTAGTTTATCAAAGAATTATTTTACAGGAAATATGCCCTCATTTTTAGGAAGTTTACTGAGTCTTGAAGAACTCTATCTCGTTTATAATAATTTAGTTGGATACATTCCACCATCATTAGGGAACCTTCACTTTATAAGCCAAATTGCACTTGGATTCAACAATCTAGAGGGAGTTATTCCATATTCGATATGGAACCTATCCAAGCTCCAAAACCTACAACTACAAGGAAATAATCTATATGGTGTTATTCCTCCTAGCATGGGTCAAAAGCTTCCCAATCTTGTTTACCTTCGATTATATCAAAATCAATTTTATGGTCCTCTTCCAACCTCTCTGTCAAATTCAACTTCTCTTGAATCTATTGACTTTGGTTCAAATTCCTTCACTGGTAAAGTCCCTAAAAATCTTGGGGTGTTGAAAAGCTTATATGGATTTGAGCTTGATGATAATAGGTTAGAAGCAAGGGACTCTTCTGATTGGGCCTTCCTAGAAAGTCTGACAAATTGCACCAATTTGATGATCCTTGAACTATCAGGAAATGAGTTCGGGGGCATCTTACCTAGTTCGATAGCCAACTTATCGACGACTTTAAGCTTTTTAAGTCTTTCAAGGAATAAAATAGGTGGAATAATACCCATAGAAATCAATAATCTTGTTGGCCTTTCTTGGCTTGATCTTGCAAGAATGAAACTTTCAGGCAAGATTCCCCCAACAATGGGAAGCTTAACATCATTGCAGATGTTAGACTTTAGCTTTAATGAGTTTTATGGTGAAATACCATATACCCTTGGCAATTTGACACAATTGAATAAGCTCTTCCTTCAATACAATAACTTAAGTGATCATATACCTCCAACCCTAGGACACTGTAACCGATTAGAACTATTAAATCTTTCAAACAATGGGCTGATTGGTACCATACCATATGAAATAACAGCCCTATTCTCCCTCACTATTGGCTTATTTTTGTCAAATAATTTCTTAAATGGGTCATTACCTTTCAATATTGGGAGCTTGATAAATCTTGTTAAATTTGTTGTATCAAACAACAAATTATCTGGCAAAATTCCTAATAGCCTTGGTCGATGCACTGAATTGCGATATCTTTATATGGGAAATAATTTTTTCGAGGGAATCATTCCTTCTCTAGAAGCATTAAGAGGTCTTGAAGAAATTGACCTTTCACATAATGAACTTGTTGGAGAAATACCTATGTACTTAGAAACATTTTCCCTTCGATACCTAAACCTCTCCTTTAATCATCTTGAAGGAGAAGTCCCAAAAAGTGGCATTTTTACTAATACAAGTGCATTCTCAGTGTTTGGGAACAAGCAACTTTGTGGTGGGATTCCTGAATTAAACTTACCTGCATGCTTTAATCAGCATAAGAGGAAAAGTGAACTGCAATTGGTGTTAGCTATGACAATTGCAAGTGGTGTTATAAGCTTTATCATACTAGTAGTTATATTTTATGCATGGAGAAATAAAGTACACAATGTATCACATTTTATTTGGAGGCCTAGAAAAGAGCAACATATAAAAATTTCATATGATGAGTTGTATAGAGCTACAAATGGATTCTCTTCTGAAAATTTGATTGGTGCTGGAAGTTTTGGTTTTGTGTACAAAGGAAATATGTATGGTGATGACAATAACATTATTGCTGTGAAAGTTCTGAATCTCCAACGACATGGAGCCTCAAAGAGTTTTGAAGCAGAGTGCAAAGCATTGAGAAATGCACGACATCGAAATCTAGTCAAGGTTTTAACAATCTGCTCGAGCATAGACTGCACGGGTAATAATTTCAAAGCACTGGTATTTGAATTCATGCCTAATGGAAGTTTGGATAGGTGGTTGTATCCACAAGTTAATGATGTTAGTGGAAGTAGAACATACCTAAACTTTATCCAAAGATTGAACATAGTTGTTGATGTGGCTTGTGCATTAGACTATCTTCATAACCAAGGATTAGTGCCAATAATTCATTGTGATTTGAAGCCAAGCAATGTTCTACTTGATGAAGATATGGTTGCACATGTTGGCGATTTTGGTCTTGCAAAGCTTCTTACAGAAGCTTCAATTGAGTCTTCTCAAAGGTCAATAGATTCTATTGCATTGCAAGGAACCATTGGATATGTAGCACCAGGTAAATACAACTTATATGATTTTGTTGCCTTTCTTTTTTTTTCTAGAGTTCCAATTTCAAATATGTTCTAACATGCAATACATTGTTTAGAATATGGGATGGCTAACCAAGTTTCTACCAAAGGAGATGTATACAGTTTTGGCATACTTTTACTTGAGATGCTTACTGGAAGAAGACCTACTGATGGGATTTTCATAGAAAACCATAGTCTGCACCAATTTGTTCAAATGGCACTACCTGGACAAGTTATGAGCATTCTTGATCCAAATATGTTTACACAAACAGGAAATTATGAAGTTGATAGTGAGATTAAATGCATCAACAACAAAACAAAACATGAATTAGAGTGCATAATTTCTATGCTTAATATCGGTCTTCTTTGCTCAAAAGAATCACCAAAAGAACGGATACAAATAGAACAAGCTTTTAAAGAGTTGCTTGCAATAAAAGATAAATTTTACAAGGCAAAAGAAGCTAAGCATAGTTTAAGTATTGATCTACCAGAGCTTTGTAAGTGACATATGTCATATTCATTTATGTTTTTCAAGCTTCCAACTACAGAGTTCTTCGTTATGTTTTATGGTTAGGTTCTTAATAAAATATTCATTTTTATGAGCATCATGGCTTGTTGTTTATACAATAATGAATAGTATGATTAATTGAATCCAAAGATATAATTATAGCCTGATACAATTTACTGCTATATAGTTTGCCGTTCTATAGTTTGTTGCTGTAAGAGCAGTACTCATTTGCTGTTTGATTTGTCCTGCATTATCTAGCCTAGATATTAAAAAACGCCTTGTTTTCTGCACTGTATTTGGTCTGCATTGAATGCACTAGAGGAGTATTCCATAATTTGACAAACGGTGTATTCTACAGAATGTTCTGCATAGCGAAGCTATGGTCCTATATATCTTCAGGATTAATGGCAGATGTAATCTTCTTCTCCACAGAAAAGCAGAAGTTTGAGATTTTTGCTACAAAGATGAACATTGTGTTGGGCTTGATTGAAACAATGAAGTATTGATTAGAGATCTTAGAGGCAAGTCGGGTTGAGCCCGCCTGATATATTTTTGAAAGCATAGTCGTTAAGATCTGCGAAACCACAGAATTATAGATCTTTCCAAAAGGATTTACTTAGATTTTCTGAATAGTTTCAGCTATGTAGTATAGTACGATCTCTTACTTCAAATTCATTACTATTGATACGTCACCAAAAAATTGTCTGGATCAAGCACGAATTGTAAGGCACATTTAAGTTGAAAACTTCTAAATTAAAATTAGGGATCATCCAAGCTCCGATTTTAGAAAGCTTATAGTCAAATTGAACATCACGAGAAGATGAATCCAATGACACCAAATATTTCAGTTAAATTTGAGCCCAAATGAACTCAAATCAAAGGACTAAAATACTCTTAGAAGCTTCAAAGCATTAATTGGAAGACCAAATGATGCCCAAATATGAAATGCTTATAGTCGAATCGAGCGGTTCAACGAGAAAAATCGAACGAACCCAAGGACATCAAATATTGTCATCATTAAGGCACATAATGCTCGAAAAACACTATGATCAAGAGAATTACTATGAACCATCCAATAGAATACTTCAAATCTATCCTAGATCTTCTCCATATTTACTGAGGAAGTCATTCCCAAAAAAAAAACTATAAATAGCCTCTCATTTTTCACATGAAGGGGGTGGGGGAAAAGAAGAGCTATGAGTTTTAAAAAATTTTAAAGCTCCACCCCGGCACCAACGCCAACAAATCCATACCACCAAGCCTCCACTATTGAATCTCCTCCGGACCATTATTGTCAGACATGTCCACTGGAAAACATTGACGAGACTTCCTCCACCATCGCTGCCGACAACGATCCCTCCCATCGTCGCTTGACTACGATCCTTCTGACAATTGTCATCAAACTATGATCCCTTCGACCATCATTATCCGACTATGACCCTACCAACCAAACAAACAGGATAATTCTCTTTCGAGAGCAACTATCATGTCATTCTCCAACTATGTAATGTATTTTATATAATATTTATTTGTTACATTGAGCCAACTCCCTCCTCCAAGGAAGGGCAATAACCATAATTAACCACTAACACTAGTGTAATCATTTTGACCGGGTATGACCCTGTGATTTTTTCTCTTTATGGGGTTTTCTATGTAAAAAATTTGAAGTCTCTTATGAACGCTGAACCCCTACTCTTTTATCGGTTTATGTGTTTGATCTTCATGCAAAGATAGGATGTTAAACTTTATATTTCTCTACCGCCGTAAATATTCTAGGACGCAACATTTTTACACCGTATGTGGAAAATGATTCCTTGCTAGGGGCAACCTTTGCTATAAACTCATAAGGTCATTTATATAAATGTCATGGGTATGGTTGGAGCAAGATAGTGTTTTTGTCATGATCTATTATTAAGTCTAAAGGAACTCATTCAATATTGAGGGCAACCAAATATATTATTCTATCACTACTCAAGCATTCGCCATTGTTGCATCAATTTTGTGAAAGCATATTTAGAATGGGGAGCAACTAGCTGTAACATCAAATGTGACTATGGCCAAGAAAATTCCTCCAATATTATCAACGTCCAAGACAATATTATTGGCAACCATCCTTATAAAAAGCTCTCAACAAATGCAAGGATGCTTCAAGTAAATTTCAAACTTTATATGGTACCTAACTAGGCTTCTACTCTTTTTGCAAGGTTATAGTCTCGACCTCAAATATGTAGTAACGTTCTTAAGACAAACTAATATTTACCTTCGATTCAGGATACATGCAGCATTCTACCCCTCCCAATCAATATATAATTGATTCCTAAATGACTCGATTAGGCCTCATCCAGATGTTAACGTCATCGAGCAAAGCTCTAACAAACAACATCGGTAGTGTTGTGGCTTATTCGCTCTATTTGGGAGGAGAGGAGGGGGAGATATGGTGCCAGGAAGTGCCACTGTGGCATTGAGCTCTATGTTTGATTTATTATGGATGAATCTAGAATATTCGTCTCGTAGCAACAGCGAGTAGGCTAGCGCTACAATGCCAAGTCAAGTATTTTTTAAATATTAAAATAACTTACACTAATTGCTTAATCCATTTTCCCCTAGCCCATTACCAAAGAAAAAAAGAGGAGAAGAGATGAGAGAGGGTTCAAATTCCAATACTCAAGATTTATTCGTCGGATATGTTCAGGATATTGTAGAGCACTAGGGCAGACTTTTAAATTCTATCTCTAGTTTCAATTTCAATAGTTTTATAAAACTTCATTGATAAAATATATTTTTATCAAATTTTATAATATTTTTACCATGTAACTTTTAATAAGTTAACGTACACTGTACTCTTAACATTTTGAATATATGAAATCAAGTTTTTATCGGTTGATTTTTCCTATGCAAATTTTTGGGTATATAAGTTGATTGGGGATTTTTTAATAATTGTAATAGTTATATAAAAGTATTAAAATATTCATGTGAATATTTCTCTAAAATTAGAAATTGATTAGAAAAATTTTAGTTAACATAATATTATACAAGCAATGTGGCTTTACTAGCAAATCATGTATTATATGAGTACTACATCGAATTCATAATTTATTCATTATTGCATTTTTATAAATACTATTCATAGCATGGCATTGAAAATATTTTGATATATGAAAAAGTGCACTCTCTGATATGTTATAAGGGCCCTATATTTCTGTTATGGTCATATTTGCCGAGTGTGGATATGGGAGCGATTCTGACTCCACTTGTTGAAAACAGGTGTATGAGTATGGGAGGTTAAAAGGAGGCATAACTGGAAGTGGAGTTATAAGAAGACATCTGAACATGTGCATTATAATTATTAAATTATATATATATATATATATATACTAATAAATTAATTATCAATAATATTATGAATTGAATGTTAGAAATTTCTAAATTTTTGTATGAAAAATGGAAGTCAAGTACAAAATTTTTTTTATAATAAATATTTTGTGATGTATCTAGAAATCTTTGAGAAAGTGGTTTTACAAGTACAAGTGATAACTTTAAGTATGGATCAAAACCATAAAAATTTTGTGTTTTGCTAGTATTTCAATTATTCTTTAATATTTTTTTAATATATTGCAATTTCATCTTTAATTTGGATATTGATATCTATGATGGATTAGGGAAAGAAGTGTACTAAGTCTTTTTGTGCTCATTATATGAATTTTATGATTTTGCAAAAAGAAGGTAGAGGCCCGACATAGTAGAAAATGGTACATAAGCATAATCTAATTAGTCTAAGTGTTTGAGGTATTATTTTTGTATTCTTATTCTCAATTATTTTGATGATAATATTTTCTTGATCTGGGTTAATGTATATAGATTTTGATGAAATAAAATATGCTTATACTACTTTATTATTTGGATTTTGTAGTAGTTCTAGTTGCTAACCTGCTATTGATGGTTAAGTTGTATTTATAGGTTTAGGGCTTCAATCCTTCTATTATATATTAAGACGTCACATGACCGTAGTCGAGCGATGGTCAACGGAGGGACCATAGATGGGTGAAGAAGATCAAAAGGGTCGTAGTTGGGTGATTGAGTGTCATGTGCCCCAGAATTAAATTTGGAAGAGTTGTCTATTATATATATTTTTTTAATTTATCAACCAGAGCTTTTATTAATTCATTTATATTAGTATATACAATGGAAACATCTAATATCATATACATCAAAATATTTCTCTATATCTATTCTTCCAAAATCATGCATATAATAACCCGGAGATAAGTACAATCCTTAATTTATGAATAGCTCCTAACTACAAAAGCATAAAATAAAACATAAAATAAAATCATACGAAAACCCGAGGATCTCTGTCAACCTCACTCCACTTGGTCTGAGATCGATCATTTAAATTCACATAATGAGCTAAAAAGCCCAGTAGAAACTCAAACTCACTAAAGCTTTCAATGCAAGGCTTAAAGAATCAATATGCATACTCAACTTAATCAATATAATCAATAGCATTCAATCTCATCAATATATATATGACTTAGTAAGACATTACATCCAGCTTTAATGTGGTATTTCTATCCTTTCATCTATAATCATGCATAGTATATTATATAATTATCATTATCATCATCATCATTTTTATTACAAGTGGATTTCAATAATCATTAAGAGTCATCACTCTCGACCCATCAACGTAAATGGTCATCAATTATAGGCTATAACTGAGATAACACCACAAACCATCTTTAAAAGAAAGTATATCAACCCATCCTCCTGTGTAGAGTATTACATTTTAAGAGTCAACACATATTAATTATAGTGTTAACAGTCAGCTTTTCTTGCTTAGAAATAAATATCACATTCCTCTTATATTACTTGTATAATCTTTCTTTAATGCATGAAATGCTCATAAAATGCTCAATTCTATAAAATACAGAAAAATCTTTATAATAGTCTATAGCTTCAAAAAATCATAACTTTTATTTTATCTGGTGAAATTCTATAATATTTAGTCAAAAGTTCATAACATTCATATCTATTAAATATAAAATGTTACACGATAAAAGTGCAATAAATCAGTAAAAAAATATATTTTTATCAATTTATTAGGGATTAAATTCATCAAACTGAAAACCATTAAAAACTAAAGTAGGATTTGGGTTACAACGATCATAAAAAATCTTAGAACATAATCATGCAGTTATAATTGATGTGTTTAAGAGCAATTCCTTTTGGTCCACACCACATCAAAACAATTTTGAGACTATCAAGTCTACCCTTACGCTGCACCAGTTTTGATCTCGCTAAACTTTGATAAACCTTTTCAGATCGACACTGATGCGTTTGCTATTGGCATGTAAGCTGTTCTCTATCAGGAGAATCGGCTAATTGAGTACTTTAGTGAAAATTTAAGTCGCCTCGCCAGAAGTGGATCGTATATGAACCAGAACTCTATGCCATTGTGAGAGCGTTGAAGCATTGAGAAAACTACCTCCTTCACCATGACTTTTGTGCTGTGTATTGATCATTAATCCCTCTAATACTTGAACAGCCAGAAAACTGTTAATAAGATGCATGCGAGGTGGGCGATTTTCCTTAAACGATTCAGTTTTGTAGTACGTCATAAGACGGAAAAGATCAATCGAATAGCCGATGCACTCAGCCGTTGAGTTGCACTTCTCACCCAATTGCAAACATAAGTTGCTGGATTGAAAGAGATGAAGTCTCTCTATTTCACAGATCCTAACTTTGCTACCACATGGGATGAATGCCATTTCGGAACACTGATTGGTGATTTTTCCATCATAAATGATTTCCTCTTTAAGGGCAACTCGTTATGTGTTCCTTCATCCTCGTGGTAGCATCAATTAATTGAAGTGATTCATTGTAGTAGCCTTGATGCATATGTGAGTAGAGATCACACTCTTCAACATCTGCAATGTCGATTTTTTTGACCACACATGTAAAGAGATGTTTCCAAGTTCGTGGAGCGTTGTCCCGTTTGCCAAAGGTACAAGTGAAGTGCTCAGAATGCATGTCTTTACATGCCATTGCCCGTGCCAGACTCAATTTGGGAGGATCCAAGTCTTGATTTCGTCCTTGGCTTGCCACAAACCAAAAGGGGGTCAGATTCCATAATGGTTGTTGTTGACAGGTTTTCGAAGATTGCTCACTTTATTCCGTGCAAGAAGACCTTTAATGCCCTTAATATTGCTAAGCTGTTTTTTAAAGATATAGTCCGCTTGCATGGGCTACCCCGTAGTCTTACTTCGGATATGGATGTCAAGTTCATTAGCCATTTTTGGCACGAACTTTGGAAGAGATTTCAAACTGATCTAAAGTTAAGCTCAGCTTATCATCCTCAAACGGATGATCACATGTAAGTCATGAATTAAATGTTTGCTAGTATGCTGAGGTGTATAGTTCAAAATCATCAGTGGGAAGATGTTCTTGGGTAGGCGGAATTCGCATTTAGTTTCATGGCCAATGCCAATTTAACATTGTCTACAAGAAGATGTAGAATCATATTGTAGACCTGACCATCCTTTCTAAATGCCGCAATACAACTGCTTCCCAAGCAACAGAGCAATTTTCTAACATCCTCAAGATGTCCGGGATAAATTGATTGACATCAATTATAAATACAAACGGGCAGAGACAAGCATTGTCGACACACTGAATTCAAGCCTGGCGAGCTGGTTATGCTACGATATCGCAATGATCAATTTCTCTCAGGACCACGTCCGAAGCTCAACCCAAAGAAATTCGGTCCTTTTCTTGTGCTGCGCAAGATCAATGATAATGCTTACATCATTGATTAACCCAAAGATATTCCAACATCTTTCACTTTTAACGTTGCCGATATCTACCCCTACCACCCCTCATATAATGTGATCTCCACAGTCCTCTCATCAGAGATGAGTTCTTCTGAAGTAGGGGAGACCTGATGCAGACTACAACCAAGCCCAAATAAGTATTCCTCGAGTGATTGTTCTGCCAATGCTACCGTCTCCACTACTAACTAACCGTTTTATTCTATTTTTTTTGTGTTTAGCCGTGCTATTTTTCCTTTTATTTCTTAAATACTAGTTTCAGTAATTCAGCAAACCTGTAGGCTGAACATATATACCTTTTTACAAAAGATGGAATGATAGAGAATATTATACATAAACTTTACAAAACCCTTTCTTCTGTTCCATAGCTTTTAGTGATTTTTCTCCTTGCAGGTGAGCTGCTGCATCAAATGTTATGGTGATATTCAGGAGCTAAACCTGCCAGCATACTTTAACCAACTAGTAAAAACTGTAGATCATAATTGGGGCTGGTTGTCACAGTTGCAAGTGTTGTTTTATTCTTTACCATATTAATAGTTAAATTGATTGCAAGTATAAACAAGTTAGACATAGAATAAAACAGCTTCTACTTGTATACTTAGAAAAGAGTAACATGTAAGGATTTTATATGCCTGAGTTAGCAACTTACTAATGACCGATTCTCTCTTGAAATTTTGATCGGTAAAAGCTTTGGTTCCATTCACAAAAGATATAGATAGCAGCGACAACAATATTATGACAAAAATACATTAAACTCTTAATTGATTGAAGTCTTAAGCTTTCACTTCTATCACATAAAACTTCTAGTCTACCAATTGAATGAATTGATATAGGTAAACTCTACAAACTTCAGTATCCTCTTCGAAGATGTTACTTATTCATTGGATGAATTAATTTTTATATAGTAATGATGCTATGAAAACTTCAATTTTTTCCCATCTTTGAGATGTTTAATCCTCTTCCTTTTCTTTGATGAGAACATATAGATAGTTCTTCTGTATCGAAATTGATGAAGCTTTATTACTTCTGCTTCTTCCCAGCATAGATCCACAAGAACTCCTAGTAGCACTCTTTGAAATGATTCTACTACTATGATTTGGTGCATAATATAGCTTCTGATTCATGTATGATTTTGATTTTTCATTTCGCCTGTAAGACTTCATCCTCTTATTGTAAGGGCACTCCTTTTTTGCAAGGTCTTCAATGCATTTCACTTCAGTGAGAGAAGAAAAAGATTGGGATTTCCCCTGGAAGAAATTGGACAGACCCCTTCTGTAAAAAATTTATATCAGACAGCTTTATTAACCACATCACCTAAGAGAAGAAGAAATATGAAAATTCAGAACTTGAACTCACTTGATAGGGAGATCAGCCATGAGTGAGGACAACTCATAGAGAGGCCCAGCTAATGAGTTGGATGAAAAAGAAGAGAAAGAAACCTCGTCATCTTCCGCATTGAACATGGAACCATCACAATCATCATAGTCATCTTCTCCACTTGGTAATAAGATTTCACAAGGCTTCTGCTTGAGACCTTCAGCCATGATTCTTGTTTGAAATCTTAGAAGAAAAGAAGAATAATCAAATGTTTTATTCTCCAAGTTGGTATTCAATTAAGAGGATACCCACTTGGCTAGTACTGTTATTACTTCCTTATAATTAACTAGTCTTCTTATCTCTCTATTTATAGTTCTTGGCCTGATTTGTCCAGTAGTAGAATGAGTTGGAAATGAGGAGGCAATGAAGGATAAGGCCTTACGCTTGAGTTCATCCTCAGCTTATTCAATTGGTTATCCCTTCGACAGAGTGTTGCTCCTGCTGTCTCTAAAATGACATTTTTTGATGTGATGTCATGGCTTGTTGTTAAAGATAAGTGAAGCTTAGGATTCATTTATTTTAGTATAATTATCTGAAAGTGATTGGATCTGGGTTTCAAAAATGAGTATAAGTGTTTGTTTGATTATATTTTGATGAAGTTTATTCTCATATAATTTTTATTGATTTTCAATTATGGTTTGCAAGCAACGAGGGCCGAATTTTAACCTTGCTTCAGCTGGTTTTTATATTCAATTTCAATTAATCAATTTACTGTTTATGCGTATTATGACAATTCAATATAATCTATGAAGATATGCTTGCAGATTTCATTCGAGTTTTTTTTTTTTTTTTGAAACCGCTCGCAGGAAGCGCCTAACGTGGGCTTTTCAAAATTTCGGAGCCCCCCTAGGCCTCTCTCCACCCCTGTGTGTAAGTCAGGTATCTTCTGAAACCATATTTAGGGGAATTAGTTGGCTGATAGAGATTATTAAGATAATTATAATCATAAGTAAAGGCTTAAATAACAAATCCTTGGACTTTAGTTACATATGATGAACAAATTACTGGTCTAATGAGGTGGGCTGATAAGGAAAAAGAAGTTTTTTAATAAGGAATTTCTTTAAGGAGAAAATTATCAGGTTGAATTGCAAGAAGCAGATCATTTAAGTTAACAGTGTAAGACAAATGAAGGGTTAACAGATGGTTTAGAGTTCTTTCTGTAACTTATCATTTTTTTTTTTAAATATATTAGAAGGGTGGTTTGTCTTTTGCTTTGATTTTTTGTTGTTTTTCCTTTGTATGATACGGTCTTCATGATTAGCCGTACTGTTGTTGAAATAGATATAATTTAATAAAAATAATTTTAGGTTATCTTATTTTGTTCGGGATAGTTTTCTAGTTGCTTTGCTTTTAGACAATAATCACGAGTTCATTTGGCTACAGCTTCATTACTATTTTCTCATTGCTTTTCAAATTTTTCTGCAACTATAATAGAGAACTTGTTTTTTATAACTTTAAAACAACTTTATAAAACGTCGACGCCATCCCAAACAAACCCTAATCTTTTCTGATCTCAAATACTTCATCAAATTTCTTAAAAAAAAGTGAAAAAATAACAAGAAAATAGTACTCAAATGAAATTGTAGTTGTTGTACTGAGAAAAAAACAGCCACAAACAGGCCCTAAATCAGAATTAAAACATATTTTTTTAGAAAAAAATGCATGCTTAACATTTAAATTTTACTTATTTAAGAAATTAGCATTTATGTCTTTTTTAATTATTGAATTTATGTATGAATTTGTATACATGTGATTAAATAGTTAGGAATTGGATAGAAATAAAAAATATGAGTTAAAATTTTATTATAAATTTCAGTATTTGAGTGACAATTCAAAAAATAAAGATATGAGAGTGTTACTTTTATAAAACTAAATAAAAAAAAAAAGAGATAAATTTCAGTATTTGAGTGAAAATTCAAAAAATAAAGATATGAGAGTGTTACTTTTATAAAATTTTATTATAAATTTCAGTATTTGAGTGACAATTCAAAAAATTTGTTACATCCTTAATAAAATATTTTTGATTGTAATAATTTATTTGACTTTTGATTTTAAAAAGAATATATAAATTCTTTGAGTTTCTATTTAAATTTTTCAAATAATTTTTTTAGAATTTAATTTTTGTATAAATGTATTTAGTTTTTTATGAAAAAAGGGCATAAATAACTAAATAAACATAAAAAAGAAAGCAAACTAAGCAAACTAATTTATTATAGAATTTCACTGAGATGTTTATCAAGATTAATAATAAAAATGATTCAAATAACCAATTGAGCAATTCTCAAGATATATATAATATCATAAGTAGGATTGTGATCAAGTCAAGCCAATTTTTTGAGAAGGTTTGAACTCAAACTCATAAATAGTTAGCCAAATGGCCCAAATTCGAACCGATCTCAACTCAACTTAGCAGCTTGTGAACCTATTCCTTTAAATAAAGTTGATATAAAATACACATAAAATATGTTCAAATTGAAATATATAAGTTTATAGTTATTAAAAATATTTAAAAATGTTTCTACTTTTCTTATCTTAAATTATTCATTATTAAACTTTCTCTAATTTTTCCTTTTTCAATCATTTCGTCTTATTACTTCTGAATCTTCTCTCCTTCATTATAAATGAGCCGACTAATAAGTCAACTTGAACTCATTGAATTCATCTTGTGCTCAACCACAATTTTAATTAATTAGTCGAGCTCAAGTTAAAGTTATGTGTGCGCAAACTCGAGTCTCCATACTTTTTTTTTTTTTTTGATAAAACCCATACAAAAGGGCTTAAGCGTTAAGATAATTAAAAAAACATACATGAACTAAGTGAATCAATAGCCCTTTAAACATACATCAAATGAAAGAGAACCTACGAGCCTTTGATTCATACAAGTACAAAACACACAAAAAAAGAAAGATAAACAAGGCAGACAAAACCAGTAATGGGACCACCCAAAAGAGACGTTCGGAAAAAAACACTGTCAAAATGATGCTCCAACCAACACAGCAATCTAAGGAAGACAATCCTGAAGGACAACATCAGTTCCCACCATGAATAGTAAGAGGAGCAATAACGAAGTTATTTCTTTGATTTTCTCTTACGACGCTTCCCACCGTCATGGGAGAAGGTCTCATGCACAATGTGCCCCACCTGCAAAGCATACGTCTATTGCAATTCATCCACATCATCAACTAAATCACCCACGACACCCCCGCATGCCGAGGAATAGGGATCCTCCAACCAATTCGATGGGTCGTCATTATTCAAAGATAAAGCCAATTGAGCTTTCAATTCTGCATTATAAACAATTGAAATAAGAACATCAACAACATGCTCATTTCTCTTAAAAACCTCCACCTTAGGAGTCAACTGCACCCCCAAAGAAGCCACGGTTGAGAAGTGAATGATATCATTCAAATCGTTTGAAGACTCAACTAAAACAACCTTTTTAACATCACACAAATCTATGTCAAATCTATTCAGAGCAATACCTAGACAATGCCCACCATCCACATTTTTATTTGCATCTGAAACAACATTATCATTGGGAGAACTAACCTTGGCAACGACATCTTCCACTATATCATCAAGCGGGTGATCCAAATCAATCGATTGAGGATCCAAATTGTCAATAGGTTTAGTCGAACCATCACCAACAACCAAATTATTTGATGCAATAACACCAACAATAACAAGGGTCGAAAGCACAGGTTCAGATAAAAGCTCAGTACCACATGTAACCAAGGAAATATCAACATCTTGTTTACCAACATCACTAACACCATCAGATTCCCCACACCCGAGCATTATTCCAACACCATCAATACCCTGAGAGGGTTGAATAGGAGGAGGAGGGTTTCCAACTAAATCGACATTATTCAAAACAGCAGATGCATTCAATGGCAATCCCATAAGACGGAGTGAGATTAGACATAATAGGAGGGTCATTGTTCGGAGCAGAGGAATGGGAGGAACATTCACCCCTAACATGCCCAATGCATTTACAAGAATCATTAAATGATGGAAAATCCTTCATCTCAACCATCTGTATGTAACCAAACTTTTCAATGCCAAACCAGACTTTGTCTGAATATTTTTCAGTGGTGTCAAGCTCAACTAAAACCTATGCAACAGAGGCTCGAGAACTCATAGATGTAGCATTGTCGACTTTTAGGGGCCGACCAAACATAGAACCCAAAGCATGAAGGATCCATGGAGAAAAATGATGTGGCCTTAATTTTGGAAAGGAAACCCAAATGAGAATCATAAGGGACTCAATACCAATATCAAGAGAAGGGGACAATTTGGTAACTTTCATGAAATAGTTATATACCAAATAGAATTAGTGACAAAAAAACTCTGTTATAATCTAGATCATTTGACAACTTAATCAGGACATGCTACGTATCAAGCAAATTCACATAAAACTTAGCAATAATATTAAGGTTGAAGAAAAATTTGCTAATAAAATCCAAACTGGGACAGCGTGAAGGAAAAAAACCCACCAACGTAAATTGGAAAGGAGTTGTAAGCGCAAGAATCTCATCTTCGAAGACCCACAATGAAGGAATACCACGAAAAGAAGATAGTTTTAACTCAGGAAACCCACCATGAGCGGAAGATCCAGCTAGGATATCAACAAAAGATTTCGCTTTCACAAAACAACCCAAAAAGTCAGGATCACAAACACGAATCGTGGCCATTCTGGTCGCCAAGGGACAACATAAGAACCAAACAAAAACTATGCACCACAAGAAAAAAAAAAGGAAAAGGGAAAGATCTTCCCTGAGCATGAGGATTCCAGCACGCTTGACGTGAAACCACCGGGAGGGTCCTGCATAAGCCTTCGTGCACGGTGCTACCGACCAGGTGAAGAGGCTCGCATACTCAAAGCTCGCACGTGCGACATCGTCTGTGCCGGCTCCGCCTACCCGAAATCCAAGTCTCCATACTTACCCCTCCTAAATTTCGAGAAATATTTCCGTGCGACAACCAGACAGTCCGAAGACAAACCAGAATGCGTCACGTCACCTGATACCAAGCACCGGTACCGAATAAAAAGTGACGTGTTGCGTTTTGATTGGTCTCCGGACGCCATCCGGGATCCGCACAAAATAATTTTTCCTAAAATTCAAACTTAAAAGTATATCTTATTAAATTCCCACAACACAATTATTATTATTATTATTTTATTTGATAAGTATATCTGGATTGTATGTTTTTGTTCAAACACTTTTATATACTTGACCCATCTATTGGACCCATTTGTTGTGGACCCTATGCATCCAACAGTTTTTTCGGTTATAATATGGGCCAAAACGGAAAACCCTCAATGTTGCCCTTTTTTTAAGGAAAAAAAATTCATTCAAAAGTCAATTTTGAGTGACTTACTGTTTTTTATTCTTATTTTCATCAAATTTTATTTGAAATTAAAAATATTTAATGAATCCCACTTCAGATTAATTTCAAGTACTTTAGAGTGATAATTAATTATTGAATGTCATATTATATATATTTATACTATAAATATTTAATGGAAATTGAACTGTATTCAAACCACCATATTCATTTATTGTTGGTACAAAATTTAGAATGAATTTTTGAGGAATTTTTTTTTCATTACTGCCAAAATAATACCAATCTGAATTT